ACTACTGCTGCAATACTCTGCTAGGGGTTAATCCCCAAACACTAACAGGCAAGAAAGAAGGGGAACTCAGATACAAAACAGGAGATGTAGAAAGTGAACACGGGGTCAGTCAAAAAGGACTCAGAAGCCTATACGCTAATACTATGAACATTAGCAACAAAAAGGGCAAACTTGGAAGTCTTAGTACATGAGGGCAGATATGACATTCTTGCAATTACTGAAACTTGATGGCATGAAAGCCATGACTGGAATGTACAGTTAGAAGGATTTAAACTGTTCAAAGGAAACAGACCTAACAGGAGATAGAGTTGCATCATATGTAAGAAATCACTACACCTCTACAAAATGCATAACACCCAAGGATCAAAACCACCTTGAATGCATATGGGTTAATATAAAAGGAAAAAAGAATGACATTGTCATAGGTTTATACTACAGGGCACCCAACCAAACAGAAAATAGCAAAAGCACTTAGATTTGTATACCACTCCAGAGCTCTTTATAGCACTCTGAGCAGTTTACAATGTTAGCATATTGCCTCCAACAGTCTGGGTCCTCATTTTACTGACCTCGGAAGGATGGAAGGCTAGGTCAACCTTGAGCCAGTCATGATCGAACTCCTGGCTGTGGGCAGAGTTAATCTGCAATACTGTATTCTAACCACTGCACCACTCTTATAGGTGAACTTCTTGCTAATCAGTTAGCTAAGGTGTGTAGGAAACATACCACAGTAATAATGGAGGACTTTTAACTACCCTGACATCAACTGGGAGACAAATTCTGAATCAAGTGAGAGATCTGTCAGGTTCCTGACAAACCTAACGGACAACTTGGTCATCCAAAAGGTAGAGGAGGGAACCAGACGGTCAGCTATACTGGACTTAATTCTTACTAATAGGGATAAAACGATGGGGGGAGGTGTTCGACATTGAGGGAAGTTTAGCAGAGAGTGACTGTGCCATATTGGAATTCAACAAAATGCAGGCACAAGTATTGGTACCCTCCACAGGTACCAATACCATTGAACATGGTACTTGACTGCTTCTTGAGGGCTGAGAGTTGGAGGCATTTTTAAGATGGATGGATAGATGATAGAACATTTCAATGTGAACTTCATGGCTCTGTTATATTTTGGCATATTTTTGAAGTAATATTTTAGAATGAATGATTTAACTTTACTGGGGGCAGTTGTGCTGAACATTCATAATTTATTAAATTTATAATTTTATATTTCAGTTCAGAAACTTTTCTTTAGAAAATATAGCTATTTGTTCAGTGGGGAATTGGTGCTGTACAGTGTATATGTGTGTATGAGAAAGACATGGTGCTTTTAGCCTATATGCACCAAGATAAAAGTATGTTGGACTTAAGTAATTGAGAAATAATATAAGCCATTGTTTTCTAGGGACCAGTTATTCTCCACAAGAAAACTCTCATAACCACAGTGCTCTTCATAGCTCAAATTCACATTCTTCTAATCCTAGCAATAATCCAAGCAAAACATCTGATGCAGTAAGTACTAATACTGAATTGGCCAACCAAGTTTATTTTATTAAATGTTGCATACACTTTGCTTCCCTTTTCAAGAAATTCTAGATAATTGCAGTTAATAGAAATCAAGCAAACAAAACTGTACATACTATGTTCTAGGCAATTTCTGTTCTGGATAAGTTGAGTATTTCAATCCAAAACATATTGTGTAAAGTTTTAAAATAGCAGATTGGATAGCGTATCTCCGCTAGTTTAATTCTCTCAAGTGAAACTAAATTCTATATTTACTATTTGAAAGCTATTACATTTTGTTGTTCTCCAGTTTCTAAGTTAGTTTAGTTTTCTAATTGTTTATCCACTTTATATAGCTGCCCATCTGAACAAGTTACAATCAAATACAAGTAGTCCTTGACTTACAGCCATTCATTTAGTGACAGTTTGAAGTTACAACAGCACTGACATAAGTGATTAACACCTTGAATTGAAATCTCATGACTCTGGTGTAGGATTTTTCAAGGTAATAAGGTAATCTTACTCATAAAGTACTTACAGGTAATTCTTGACTTACAACCATTGTTCAGTGAGCAATCAAAGCTAAATGGCACTGAACAAAGTGACTTATGGCCATTTTTCACACTTATGACCATTGCAGTATCCCCACGGTCACATGATCAAAATTCAGATGCTTGGCAACTGGCATGTATTTATGATGGTTGCAGTGTCCTGTGGTTATGTGATCACCTTTTGCGACAGTTCCTCAACCCAGTCCTACACCATGCAGGTATTTAAAGGTGATGACCAGCACCTTGAATTGCACCCAGAACCACACTGGCAACCAATGAAGCTGACAGTAGTGGTGTTACATGTGCCAAATAACTGGCACCACCCATGTTTCCACGTTCTACACCTCTTGAATTTCCAAATGCTTTTTAGAGGCAGCCCCATGTAAGGTGCATTGAAGTAGTCTACAACGGGGTCCCCAACCCCTGGGCTGTGGACTGGCACTGGGCCACAGCTTGCATCTGTGGAATGTGCACAGTATGCAAAAACACACGCCCTCTGGTCCATGGAAAAACCTCTCCATGGAACCAGTCCCTGGTGCCCAAAAGGTTGGCCATTGGTCTACACAAGAGGTCACAAGGGCATGAGTGACATTGAGTAGCCCCCCCCAGCCCAGGAATGAGCACAGCTGGCATACAACCTGTGTGTAAAGGCCCTCCTAGCCACAGCTTCTACCGGTTCTTACAGGTTCTCCTTGAGCAGGAGATGTGAGTCCAGGAGGACCCCCAGATTACACACCGGATCTGTCTGAGGCAGTACCACTTCATTCAAGATGAACAATAAGGTTACTCGCACCAGAATGCCCAAACACCACTAAGCCTTGCTTGGGTTGAGCTGAAGCTTGTTAAAAATTATAGTATAAAATGCTTTGCGCTTTATTGATTTTTCTGAAAGGAATATTTTTAAGTGAAATGTGTTAATGTTCAAAACAGAGATATTTCTGAAATCCATCAGGTTGATTGCAATTTTTTTTTAAGTCTTATGATTCTGCAGATGACTGGTCTGAGCACATTAGTTCTTCTGGCAAAAAATATTACTATAACTGCCGAACAGAAGTTTCACAGTGGGAAAAACCGAAAGAATGGCTTGAAAGGTAAATAATTACCATAGATGTAAATTGTAGAATAGTAAACTTACCAAATTGTTCCATTTTATAATTTATTTATTTTTACACCAGAGAGCAGAGACAAAAAGAAGCAAGCAAAATGTCTGTCAACAGTTTTCCAAAAGATAGAGATTACAGAAGAGAGGTGATGCAAGCGACTGCTGCAAGTGGGTTTGCTAGTGGAAGTATGTCTATTTTAATGCAATAATATTCCTGTGCATGTTCTTTTTCAAGTTTTTTTTTCAGTTGACCACATTTTATGAATAAGTTAAGCTTTAATTTCTCACCCCCCCAACATTGTGTTATCTAATATGGGCACTGAAATAGTTTTGGTGATTAATTTGATAACTATACATTACATATCAAGAAAATAAAATAAAGCTTTTTCTTTTTTTAAACAATTTTTATTAGTTTATAATATAACATACAAAGAAAATACAAAAGTAAATAGTAGGGAAGAGAATAGTGGGGGAAAGCAATGAGGAAAAAGGAAAAAAAGGGATTGACTTTCAGACTCCCTTTGGTGCAGTAGAATAAGGCATTAACATCAAACCTCAACTTTAAAAGAAAATAAAGCTTTTTCTTGTGTTTAATATTAAATTTTCCTTTGTACTTCTATGCTATGATAGTAATGACAATACAAATTATATACAAGTAGTCAGCGGTGGGATCTGACAGGGTTAACTACCGGTTCAGTGATTTACAAGGTTCGGTGATTTACGATGTGCTTCCCTGCACGCTGTGCGCGGACGCCTGTAAATTGTCATCAGCACGCTGCTTGCCGAGAAGCAGCCTTTGAAAAAGCCCCTTTTTCCTGCTTTTTTAACTGCAGCTGTGCCTCGCTCGGCAGCTGAAGTTGAAAAAGCAGGAAATAAAGGTCAGGTAAGAGCCCGGGTGGGCAGGTGGGCAAAAACATCAGCAGACATAGAACTGGTTCTATGTCTGCTGCTCTTCAGAGCTACCGGGTCTACAGAGGTGGACAGAACCGGTAGAAACCCACCCCTGCAAGTAGTCCTTACGACCATTCATTTAGCAACTGTTTGAAATCACAGCAATGCTGAAAAAAATGGAGTTACAACCTGTGCCTGAAGTTACAGCTGTTGTAGCACCCCTTTAGTCACATTATCAAAATTCAGGTGCTTTGCAGCCCACCTGCATTAAGTTCCAGAAGGGTACTTCAGCTCCCCCCCCATCTGTCCTTTTGGTCACCCTGCACAGCAAGGCAGCAAGCAGCCCCAGAACCATGTGACTCTGCGCTGCTTCCTTTATCCCAGGAAGCCTCAGCAAACATTCATTTGCCTAGCTTCGTTCTCTTCCCCAGCTCCATGTGACCCACCCCAGTAAACAAGCCAGCAAGCATTCATTGACCCAACTGCCTTCTCTCCAAGTTCCCTGCACTTGCCTTTTGCACACAGGGATGCTCTGCCTTTGCTGTTCCTTTTTGAACCCAGCTTCTCTGGCAAATATTTCCTACACATGGCTAAAGCTGCACTGTTTTCAGAAAGGTTTGTGAAGATAGTACAGCTTTAGCCACTTGGGAAGTGGGTGGGGAAGGCTTGCAAAGACAGCACCGCTTTCTGAAGTGGCTAAAACTTCACAACCCCCTCCCCTTTCCAAAGTGGCTAAAGCTGTGCTGCCTTTGCAAACTTTTGAGTTGGAGGCAGTCCCTTACCTTACTGAAGCTTAAGCCTGGGAGGGTCCAAGCCCAGAATGGCTTGGATTGGGGGTGGGTACTCAACAACCTAATTCTCAGTTAATGACTAAAAGAAAGTCGGGATTGCCATCAGTCAGTGCAGTCACCTGACAACTAGCTTTTCCAGTCCCAATTGTGGTTGTAAGCTGAGGACTGCCTGTAGATTTTTAAAAGTCAAAATATGGAATTTCCAGTTTTCAGAAATATTCATAGATATGTAGTCTTCTGCTGAAACATTCAAAATTATTTGGTGGTTTTTTGTTTTGATAATGGAGATAATGCAACAGTTCATGTTGATTTAAGCAATGTGTTTGTATTTTTTAAAAATAGCAGTATATACTAATATCTCTTGATGCTGGAATAGGAAAAAAATGCAGAGCTCTAACTTGGTATTTTCTGTCTCATTTCAACATTGTGAACAATAAACCAAAGTGGAAGACAAGCATTCCAGTGATGCTGCTAATCTGCTCCCACAGAATATTTTGTCTCAGACAAGCAGACACAATGACAGAGACTACAGATTGCCAAGAACAGAGACTCACAGTAGTTCTGCCCCAGGACAACATCCCATCAAAACAGTGGTTCACCCTTCTACCACTACAAGTTCTGTTCCTCCTAGTCCATTTTCTCTACAGTCAGATCATCAGCCAAAGAAATCATTTGATGCAAATGGGGCATCTTTATCAAAACTGCCTGTGCCCACTTCTTCCATCCTTTCACAAAAAACAGAGAGAAAAAATTTGTCAGGTGTGTATTTTTTTTAAATTTTTACTGATTATTTTGTGTTGAGTATGGGGACTGAAACATGTACCCTTAAAACAGGGGTGTCAAACCCGTGGGCCAGATGCGTCATGTGCTGCCCCCGGCCAGTTTAGCGAAGGGGAGAAAAGTCCCGATACGTCATGTGACGCCGCTGTGACAACGTGAGTTTGACACCCCTGCCTTAAAACAATAGTCTCTTCTGTGAAGAAACCTGAACTTTTCTGTTAACTACAAACTCTGTGATTCTGTCTGGACATGCTAGTTGAAAGTGTAGTAAAACTCAGATGCCATATTGCTGAATTCATTAACTATGGATTTCACTATGGAGGTATTTGGTATGAGCAAAAGACTTTGGCTTTCCTCATTTCTTCAGTCTATTAATGAGCATGTGATGTGATATGTATATCATGTGGTATGTTTCAGAGGATGGCTTCATTTTCAAGACACATCTTTAAGTACAGTATATGGAGTTATGTGCAAGGATGGTTAAGAAAATACATGAGTGAGTTTCCGTCCCTGGATAATGATACTTTGAGTTTGCGATTATACATTTTACTTTCTCTGTTGAATTACTGGCCAAGTTATTACAGTTGTAGTGTTAGTAAAATAATGAAATAAGCTTAGGCTGCTATTGCACATATTTCAGTTCCTAAAATTGTCTTCTTTTCATTCTCTGTGATTTCAACATTTCTGGAAACTATCTCCAGTTTTGTACTATAAACTTGTGGAAAAGTGCAATTGCTCAGTAATATATTCTTTGCATATAGTAAGTTCCAGACTCTTTTCCTACCATCTTTAGTTCTATAATTGAAATCTTGGGATGATACTGCAATTGGGGCGGACAGTCCAGAGCTAAACAGACTTAATAGTCTGACTTTGTACAAGACAGTTTGTCGATTCCTATTTCCAAAGCCAAAACACTTTACTTCTGCTTTATGTTCTATATGTTCATAATTGAGAAATGTTCTTATATTTGTTTTATTTTGAAAACATGTTTTTAAATCTATTAGATTTTCTAGTAAATGGAAGTTCCTCTATATTTTGATATTTGTAAATGTGTTGAATTTTCAGCCATTTCTAATAATTATAGTATTTTATATTATGTAAACTGCAGCTTGTTTTCTAGGAGAGAGACGATGAGAACAAGGAGTTTGGATTTGCTAGCTCTTGGATATATCAAAATATTGTTAATGATTGGCTTCATAGCTTGTCTTGTTCAGAAGCCATTGATGTTACTTTTCTGTTTGTTGCAGGAAACTAGTTAACTGAAGCCTTCATTGCTCAATGAGTGGCTCCCATGTAGTGGAAATCACATGGCTAAATACAGAGAGACAAAGTTTGTTCATATGTCAGGTTTTTGTTTATGCTTTTCTGTAATTTTATAATACAAAAGTTTTGTAGTTAAATATGTGTAGCAGTCAACTACTTACTATTATTTTCCTATCTGTGGCTCCGAGAGTCCAGATAGATAGGGTTAAATCAGATCCTGCCCTGTTGGAATGAGTCTGCGTTAAAACTGAAGCTCTGCCCTGCACCGTGGCCACACGCCAGTTTTCGACTCAGTTCAGCCAGGACAGGACGTGAGTTGCTGAGGCTCCACTTGAATTGCAAGTGGAGGCTTTTTTGCATAAGAAAAGAAGTTTTAAAGAGCAGCAGAGGCTTTTGGAAGACTCTGCAGCCAAGGAGTGAGGCTTTTAGCCTCCGGGCTTGGCTATCGCGTTCAGGGCGGCTGCCCCAACATGCGAAGCTGCAAACACGTGGAGTGGCTCCAGGCGATCGGCCTGATAAGGGCTATGTGCGCGGTAGCGCAGCAGCAGCAAGGAGGAACAGCGCTGTTTTCGCTTTCGCTTTCTATTCAGTCGCCTTGGCTGCAAAGCGTAGCAGCAAGCAGCAGCAGCTAAAAGGGGCAATCGGCCCAGAGGAGTCTTTGCAGCAGCACAAAGCAGCCGCTTGATTGGGCAATTGGCCCGATCCCAGCTGGGGGGCGTAGCCGCGTGGCAGCGGTTGGTGCTGAAGAGTGGTGAGGACTCAATCGACCCCAACTGAGGGCGCAGATCGACCATGTTGCCAGGGCTGTGATTCCAGCTACAAAACTGAGGTGATCGCGTGGGTGCCAGTAGACCTGTACTCAGGTCCATTATTACATTGTGGTGACCGGTAGGGTGTGGCTGCAGCCCAGCAATAGGCCTTTCTAGGCTTGCTTCACCAGTTCAGAGGTAAGAGGACCTTTTTTTATTCTGGATGGGGCCTTACTGGCAAGGGCAAGCAGTAAATGTGTTATTAACTCCTCATCCCCTTCCCCACCAGGATATATCCTCTCCCTCTGGCTGTGTTTGTTAATCCCAATCTCCCAGTGGGATGGCAGATAAAGATCAGGAAGGTGGTCATAGTCCCTCTAATCTAGAGGTAAATCTAGGGGCAGGCAGAAGAGAAAGGCCCCTGAACCCAAAAAACCTTCCAGGGCAGAGGAGCAGGATGCCTTGAGAAAGCAGAAGTCTCTAGAAAAGCAGGTGGAGAAAAGTCAGCGTGCTGCTGGTGGGAGGAGCTGGAGATCACCAGACCCAGAGGAGTCAGATTCTTCTGCTCTGACTCCAGTTTTACAAATGGAGCCTGGGCCTTCTACCTCCACTAGTGGACCTTGCTTACAAGCCTGGTCACCTGATAACTCATCTGCTATTGCTGATCCACACCCAATAGAGGGAGTTTCAGATTACAAAGGAGATCCCCAAGCAGTTTGCCAGGATGAAACTAGGTCACCTCCTCCAAAGAGAGGCAGACCAGGGGTGGCAGCAACTTGTACGCCCACAGCTGCTGGCTTGCACAGTTCTGAAGAGGCTGAAGCAGCATTACCTGCGCACATGGAGGCAATTATCTCTATAGCCATAAGGCAAGGTATTGTGGAAGGCCTCCAAGCTATGAGGAGGCCTGAATCGGTGGTGTCAGAACATTCAGACCTAGATCAGTCCATCCATGAGAGAAGCAGAATCCTTAAGGGACAGGGCTTCCCCTGACCTCTCCATACATAGCATTGCACATAAAACACCAGAGGAAGACAAGAGGGAATCTGATTTCTCGGCAGACGAAGAAATGGCCTCGGAGAGACCTTCCTTCACTGGCTCTTTGATTCTCAAAAGTTATGGGCCTTATTGTTTAAGGCCAGGAAGATGGCCCAGTTGGGACCAGAAGCAGATGTCGGGGAAGTGGAAGGGAACATTGCTGCTCCTCCAGACCAATATTTTGACGAACCAACAGTTTGGCCTGAAATGGTTCCAGTGCCTAGATTTGAAAAAAGATTTTATTTTTTACACATAGACATGACATAAAACATAAAACCATCTTTCAGTTACATACAGTGTGTTGGTTGGTACAAATCTCTTGTGCGTAATCTCTATAGTCTTTCCCTTCTAATTTAAATTCTCATATTGTCAATCAAATATATATATTTATATTATCATAGTTAATCACAAGACTCTTACTAATATTCCATCATTTTGTGCGAGCTAATCACCATTTTAGTTTAACCTACTTTGTAACATTCATTTCATCATCATTAATCAATTGAATAATATATCGATACATTATCTTATCTCTACAGTTCTATTATACTTTTATTATAAAGTATTATAAAATATTTCATTTCTCTGTTTTTTTTATCTAGCCATTGATAAAATAGATCCCATATTTTATAAAATTGTTTATCTTCTTGCTCTCGTAATTTCAAATGTTAATTTACTCATTTCTGCACACACTCATTTTCTTAATAACTTCATCTTCCATTGGAATTTCCTCATTTTTTCCAGTTTTTGGCAAATAACAATTCTAGCCACTGTTAATACATTTACAATCAAATATATCAATTCTTTACTGTATATTTCAGGTATAATGCCCAATAAAAATATCTCTGGTTTTACATCTATGTGTTTTTTTGTCATTTTTTCCAACCATGTGTGGATTTTAGTCCAATATCTTTTAGCCTCAGCGCACGTCCACCACATATCCAGGTATCTGATGACACATTCCAACATTTCTCCGACTTGTTCTTGAACATTCATGCTATTCTTGCCGGGGGTAAATGCTACCTGTAAAACATCTTACACAAATTCTCTTTATATGCAGTTGACATTGTCATTTTATAATTTCGAGACCACAATTTTTGCCATTTCTCTAAATTATCCCATATCCAAAATTCTTCCCCCAAGCAATCATAGTTTCTTTAACTTGTTTTTCTAGTTTAACCTCTAGTAAATATCCATATAATTTTTTAATCACCTTTTCATCAGTACCTGTCAAGATTTTATCTAATTCAGTTAATTTATCATAAAAACCTTCCATTTTGGAGTCTTTATCATATCTAGAATGTATTTGCACATATGAAAACCAATTCATCCTTATATCTTGTTCCTCTAGTTCTTGCATAGATTTAAGTTCACCCTTTTCATTCAATATTTCGCCATATCTAACTGTTTGTTCCATTTTATAGATTACTGGATATGCGAATACTTCAATAGTTGATAACCAGACTGGAATTTTCAAATACTGTTGTCTTTTAATTTTCTCCCATATTAATAATAGAGCCTCTCATATAAAATGCCTCCTAAAGTATCCATGCATTTTAGTCTCCTTGTACCATAAGAAAGCATGCCATCCCAACAACAGATCATGTCCTTCTAACGTCAATAATCTAGTATTCCTTAATGTTATCCATTCCTTGACCCACATCAATGTTGTCGCCTGATAGTATAACTCCCAATTGGGCAAGCCAAACCCTCCTCTTATTCTAGCATCTTGTAGTAGTTTTAGTTTAATTCTCGCCTTCTTTCCCTGCCAAATGTTTTTCAGTACTATTTTATTTAAATCTTCAAAATGGTCTTTCCCTAATTTAATTGGAATTATCTGGAACAAATATAAAATCCTTGGTAATATATTCATCTTAATTGTGGATATTCTCCCTATTAAAGATAACTGCAATTTTTCCTATTTTGCCA